TTTAATTCTTGCGTATTTATAATTTAAATAATTATAACTTTTTAAATGGTGTAAAATATTACGTGTATGTTGAATTTTATATAAATACTTTATTAAATATTTTAAGCCTCTCAAATGTAAAAAATATGTAATACATTTTATAAGCTATAATGTTACGTTATATTACTATATAATTAGTGCATGGAATACTCGTTGTAATCGTGTGATTCTCGCGAGGAAAACCGTTTAAATTCAGTAACTAATAAAATAAGTAACAAATTGCTCACCTCGTGGTTGCTTCGCAGTCGCTCGACGCCTCCCTGGGCCTCCTCCTCCTTCCTCCGCGGCCGCTCATTTACAGCGCTTGCTAAAACACAATTAACTATTATATGATTGCTGCGTATACGGCACTCCCAACGTCCCGACGTCAATCATTTGCACGACTCAAACTGTATTACATTCGGACGGAAAATCGATGCAGGATTGCAGGAAATGCGTGTGATTTCGCGACAAATCGCCGCGGTGATTAGATTCGCACGTTATAAAGCAGATGAAGCGAGTTAAAGTTATAAGAATAAATATTCGCGGAACGCGATATCCGGAAAATATGAACGTCGCTCTCTTGACTGTTCGCGCGACAGATTCGATCAAACGCATCTCGTAAAATATTTTAAGCAACGTACCGAGCGTCGAATCTACACGTCACGCCAGTGTCAAATATATTAAGACACGATTAAATACGAGACAACTAGGTTCGTCCTGTATGCGCCGTGACGTCACGGCGACGAAAGATTCGAGAGTGACGCTGCTATCTTAACCATGATGCCGCGCGACGAATTTCGATTAAACGCGCATCTCGCGAAATACTCGTTTTATGAAGTCACCGATGTACCGGTCGAATCTACGTCGTATGCGCGTCAAATACCGGAGGCACGATTGAGTTCAAGCTTATAATGATTGTGCTTACCGATTAATTAAACGTGCCGCGATTAATAGGCCCGTCCTGTACCCGCGACGTTCCGTTCGCGACGACGAGGGATTGGAGAGTGACGTCACGATGCGCCATCTCTCCCGTGATCCCGCGCGATAGATTTCGGCCGAACGAACGCATCGCGAGAAATATCTTAAGCAATGTATCGAGCTTCGAATCTACACGTCGCGCGGGTGCCAAATACTAAGACACCATTGAATACGGAAGTTCATAAGCGATTGCGCTTACCGATTATAGCGATTATATACGAGCCAAGACGAATAGACCCGTCGTCCTGTACCCGTCGACGCGCGACGTTCCGTTCGCGATGACGAGGGATTAGAGAGTGACGTCACGATGCACCATCTCTCCCGTGATCCCGCGCGATCGATTTCGGCCGAACGAACGCATCGCGAGAAATATTTTTGAGCGATGTACCGAGCGTCGAATCTACGTCGCGCGAGTGTCAAATATTAAGACACGATTGAATATGAAGCTCCCAATAACGATTGCGCTTACCGGTTAAACATGCCACGACGAACGGATCCATGATCCATCCTGTATCCGCGAGACGTTCCGTTCGCGACGACTGGAGATTCGAGAGTGAAGTGAATAGAGTGAGTAGTGACGCCACGCCAACGTCGCCAACTTCATAATGATCCCGCGCGCGACACGACGCGCGCGATCGCCAAGTTCGAATGCCGAATCTATATACACGATAGTTAAATGTTATTATTACAAAGAATTGATGCAGGTTTTTCTTACTAATTAAATGAATTGTGACGCCAGTTTTCCCGAAATCAATTTGTTTCCGTGTCTATCACGTTTTTCTAATAATGACGAAATATTTGAATATGCAACTTTGGTACGTGACACTACGTGAGTCAAATGGATGGCTAATAAAAACGTACAGTTGATCAACTAAAATTATGCAATTGAATTTTATTATTGCATGTACGGTGTACAGTAATTGAACTTATTAATATTGCAAAAATGTATTATGTAAAATTACACAACACGAAAATCATAAGCGCAGCACGGACACGCACCAAGGGGAGAGACTTTATCGACAGTGCCAGAAAATGGATATGCCAAATAGTTCCAACGTTGAAAATGGGTGCGAGTGGCGTTTCGAGCGGTCCATTGTCCAATATAAAACATCATTTCAGGTTAGGTCCCCGTGGTCCAGCAGACAGATATCCACGTAAAAAGATTCTATAACATATCATTTTTTTCATACAAGCAGTAGATTGCACGAGCAACTTCTTATCTACATCTGCTTTGTAGATTGCACCTTGGATGATACTTTAATTATACTGTGAATACGATAATGCAGCCAAATGGAGCCGAGATGCACATTTACATACATGACCATAATTTACCATTGGTTAAAGATAACGTGACCTCAGTGAAGAGATAACATTTACTCCGAATTAATCTGTAACACGAAATTGGTAACCCAACATTTGTAATTACGTATCCACAATAAAGTCAATCTACAATTGTCAATCTACAATTGTCATCAATCTACATCAAATCTACAATTGTCAATTTTTGAAAAATATTTTTTCGAGATTTATAAAGATTTCTATTACAATTGTGAATTTTCGATTTGAATGCCAATTATTGAAAATTTACGATAAATTGACAGCTATACATGCATGCTAATTTAATTTAGATTAAATGTAATAATAAATATTATTTAAAATTTTTTCTAGGGTTTTAGCAGAATTACAGCGTTCCATAAAAATGTTGAACTGTACACATGAATTATATAGCGTCGATCAATAATAATGTGATCTTTGTCCTAAAACAATATGGAGTGCTAATCTAATCTAATCTCTAAATATGAATGCAAAACAATATACAGAAATAGAATTCTCGTCGAGACTTAATATCAGTCAATAGGAATAAAAGACTCGTTTAACAATCATTGCTTTCACTACAAGTTTTTACTGGCAGGATGACGTTTGTACGTATCTGGTGCGCCGTACTGATTCTCTGTGTGACAGTAGAGGCATATGTTAATGTAATAACAAACTGGGATGAAAATAATTTTGTGCCATTTGCAACAAAAGCACCCAAATACGATCCAATTTGGTCTAGTCTAGACAGTCGACCGCTTCCGTCCTGGTACGATGAGGCAAAGTTTGGAATCTTTATTCATTGGGGTGTATTCAGCGTGCCCAGCTTTGACTCCGAATGGTTTTGAAATCATTGGAAGGGTTGAACATATCTACTATCTTAGTTCTTATATTAAAAAATATTATGGAGAATAATGTGATATCTTATAGAATTCTATAAATGATATTGTAGAGGAGAAAAGAACTACAAAATTTGCCGACTTTATGAGAAAAAGGTATCCTCCAAATTTCACTTATCAAGACTTTGCACGAGACTTCACTGCTGAATTCTTTGATGCTTCTGAGTGGGCAGAATTATTTCAAGCCTCAGGTGCAAAGTATATCGTATTGACTGCTAGCAAGCATCATGAAGGATATACACTGTGGCCATCAACGTATTCATTCAGTTGGAATTCTATGGATGTGGGGCCTCAAAAGGATCTTGTTGGTAATGAAGACATATATCTAATAACAATAACATTTTGCATTAAATATAAACATTCTTATACGTATTACTTTTTCTGAAATAGGTGAACTGGCAGAAGCAATTCGAAACAAGACACATATAAAATTCGGCTTGTATCATTCATGGTTTGAATGGTACAATCCTCTCTATGTAACAGACAAAAGAAACAATTTTACAACAGATAGATTCGTCACCCATAAAGTGATGCCAGAATTCCGTGAGCTGATAGAAACGTACAAGCCGGATATAGTTTGGTCAGATGGAGATGGAGAGGCAACGGATACTTATTGGAAATCAAAGGAATTTTAAGCCTGGCTATACAATGAAAGTCCTGTAAAAGATACAGTAGTGGTGAATGATAGATGGGGCATTAATATACCATGCCATCACGGTGGTTTCTTTACATGTGCTGATCGTTTTAATCCTGGTAATTTATTATTATGCTTGTTATAATTAGAATTATCTAAATTATCAAAATGTAAAAGAGAGTATATTAATGGCAATTAATAGATATTATTTAATAACTGATTAAATTGTTATATTAACAATAATTTGCTTTCCAGGTGTACTTCTTCCACATAAGTGGGGAAACTGTGTGACTATTGACAAAAAATCCTGGGGATATCGCAGAAACGCTGTTTTATCCGAATACTATACATTGGCTGGATTAGTAAAGGAATTAGTAATTACTGTAAGCTGCGGTGGAAATTTACTGTTGAACGTTGGGCCAACAAAAGATGGTATTATTACACCAATATATGAAGAAAGATTGCGTGGAATGGGTAAACATCTTTTATATCTTATCATATTTTTTATTATAATGTCTTGATCGATTCAGATATCAATTTTCTGATAGTCTTAATGATATACAAGTAAACTTTTTGTTTTAGGCGCTTGGCTAGCAATTAACGGCGAAGCTATTTACAATACTAAGCCGTGGACAGTACAAAATGATACCTTAACTGGAAGTGTATGGTACACTATAAGTAAAAATGAAAAACAGCTATATGCCTCCATTCTAGAATGGCCTCAATTCTATAATATCTTATCGTTAGGCTCGCTTAAACTTTTGGAGAATTCTCAGATACATCTACTTGGTTATTCGTCAGTAATTCCTGTAAGTGTATTACTACTTTTACCAACCTTTATGTTATAAAAATGGTGATAAAATAATTTTGAACATTTATTTCAGTGGAAACAATCCGATAATAAGCTGGAAATAAGTTTACCTCCTAACGCACACAAAGGACAGCCAGCTTGGGTATTAAAGTTTAAGGAAAATAATCATTGAATGGTTGAAGACACAGTATTTTATATATAGATATAGATTTTCATCAATATATGCATATGTATTTACTGTATACGTATGTAATACATGTACTTACTAAGAATATATTTCGTCTGGTAGACCAGTTTGAAATTAGAATTAAAACTAATTAGAAATGTACTTAAATCATGAAAAATAATAAATCTTTATTAAAGTACTTGGCTGCCATCCCGTGCGTCTTAAAAGTTTGCATAAAAGAATATATGAGAAAACATTTTTCGTTTTATTTTCTCAACTTTAGTTATGGAATAGCGCGCAGACTAGTATTTGAATTTATTTTCAAAATACTTTTGCGAAGCAAGTTATACAATACATAAATATATATTATATGCATTTCATATAAAGAAACTTTCTCTTTTGCTCTTTTTATATCACTTTGTTTTAAAAAATATAAAATTATTGAAAAATATGAATGAAAGAGCTAGAATTAGATTAAATTGGCGCGTTGTAAAAATAAATAAAATTAGCGCGTTCTTTATTAAGTCCTTTACCAAATAAAATTTATTAAGTAGAGAAATTAGAATGCATTATGCCAGTGTAAATATTTCGTGATTTTTTATTTTGATATATTGAAAAAATCTTTGAATATATATTGTTTTTTTTTATGTGTGTGTATGCACCAATTTAGATAACATATAACTCTGGAAGAATGTAAAGGATGTAAAAAACCAGACTTCAAATTTTATTAAAGAAGGGAAAATAAAGAGGAAAGAAGGGAAAATAGAGCACATATATTTTATACAATTAATTCTTATCATGTTTGATAAAAATATCAATTTCTTCTTATTTTATGTAAATACAGAAATATCTTGTTCCAGTCTTCGTCATTATCGTGAATCATGCTGTCACGAACACCATGAAGAGATTCAAATAGAAGTTTCATGTTTTTAAAATGTTAATATTTTATCTATTAAAGAGAGTTCTTTTTTTACGTCCTTTTCTTTGTCATAATTTTTCATTAATTAGGTACCTCAGTATTAAATTCAAAAAATAATTTTATTATAATATATCTGAGACACTATATATTAGCTAAATAAAATTATTAATGTATTATATTTTCATGGTGTTCTTAATCTCTCGAAAATCGTATATATTTGGCAATTATACAGAGAATTCAATAAATCGAATTTATACTTTATATATTCCAGAGTTACATATTTATAATAATGTATCCTAGCTTATCCATTAAGGTAACAGATTTATAAAACATTATATCTATCTGTATAATATTTTTATATTCTTAATTTAAATTTTATTTTTTTTTAACAGTTGTAATACAACCAGAAATAATCATAAAATTTAGATATGAAGCAGTTTACAATAATAAATAAAGAGGATATAAATACTAGAATATTTCATTGCTGCTACTTGTTCAATTTAAATTATTTGTTATATAATTTAATATGATCCTTTTGCATACTAATAATTATCGAAAAAAACCTGTTATACGTATATGCAATATATTTACAAATCCATTACCACAAGATTAAAATAAAAATAATTTAAAACTCACCGGTATGATGCGCAGCAGCGGAGTTGTAGTATACAAGACGCGAATCTGTAAAATACAAATATATCTAAATTAAGGCTCCTGGATGGTCACCGCGGCCATATTGAATTCTCACTATTGAGGCGAGGAAAACACCCAATTTTGTCGTGCGTACCATTTTCAAATAAAGAGACATTTCAATAAAACATCACTATAGATCGTTTCAGAACACTTCCGAAATTGACCGAAAACTACCCTTTTCCCTCGACAATAAACAAACAGCCATAAAACAAAGCCTAAACATACGGGAAAAACAGCCGTTTAACGACTATCGAAAGGAGGTGAAAACGTTACTTCCGCATGCAAATCTTACTTTTCGGTCAATTTTACGATTTTCACGAATACGTTAAACGTTAGAGCACAAGCACAGAGCGAGTAATAAAGAAATAGCAAGCACGACAAAATAGGTTGTCAACATGTCACAAGACAGAATTCTCCATTGGAGAGAGTGAGAGGAGAGAGTGGCGGCGCCACCGTCAACGCAGAGTTCTCGGCTGACCATCCAGGAGCCTTAAACTATTTTGCAACGTAATTAATAATACATAATTTTCGATAAAACGCTCTGTTAAATATTAACTTTTATAAAATTTTATACATGTTATATTACATATATTTTACAAATAAAATTTTAATAATAAAAATTTAATTTTTATCTAATCCAAATAGTTATAAATTTTAAACGTGTCGAAATATTTCACGTATGTCTTCATCAATTATTAAACAAATATTTTACAAATATTCTATTCAATGTTTTGACTATTTCAAAAATTAAATCAAACAAAATTAAATCTTAAATATGTTACACACATTATGCACAATAATAATATAGAACAGTACTATGCAATAATTAATCCTATACATTTGTATAGGAGATTATTTGTATAAGATTTCTGGGGTAGACCCGCAGGAGTGGCGGATAATCCGGAATGCGTCGGACTCAGTATTCCCAGGCGTATAATTTTATCAAAATCATTATCAATATCGGCTCAACGATATTCAGGAAACACCAGGTACATGTGGAATGGAAGTGTACTGATAAAACTTATCGTTTATTTGTAGACTGTTTAAGGCAAACGTATAGCTATAAGAAAAGCAATATTCGTTGTGTTTTTGCCATATATTGCTACAAACAATATTATTAATGCTTTTGCTACTATTATTAAGTAGAATATGCATTGTGATTTATTTTGAAAATAAGCAAGAAAGAGCAAAATTAATAAAATCATTTTATGTTGCGTATTAATTAATTCGATAACAAATTTTATAAAATTTATTGAATACAATCCAGATCCAATTTAACAATTGTTTAAAAGATTTTTGATAGTAATTTTTTTTAATTTACTGTCAGCAAATTATTTCAGTTTGTCGGAAGGATGAGGTACGTACAAATAAATGCATAATTGTCAAAATGCTCCAGCAAATAAATGAATATTTCTAATTTAATTCTAGCTAACACCAATATTATATTGATTACATTTTTATATGCTTCTTTTGCGAATTATACATTCGTAGCGGTAAAATTCTCGCGGAAGTTGCACATAAAATAAAATGTGTAATTATAATGGTACAATTTTCTTCTTTCAATTTAGATTTCTTCAATTATGACGAGACAGAAAAACGGAAATAAATATATCATGGCATAGGCACCGCTTCAGTTAAAACGGTATAATCTCATAACTTAATTCTCATGAAATATTTAATTAGTATTATAGATAAATTTCTATTACACATTTAAAAACAAGAAGACAAAGTATAACTCCATCTGTTACAAATTCTGGCGGTGTCCATGCATCAAAAGTTACGTCCGTCAAAATTAGCTTTCCATCGTGTCACGTAGGGGCATTTGACCCGAGAAATAAATCCGCGGCATTTGTTGTAATCGATAATCGTACTCCTCACGATCTATCGCTTTCCAAACGTTTTGTTTGGCGGCATTCAGCAGTGCCCTGTACAGAGAAACCGGAAGCTGAATGTTGTCGCTCGTTACTTCAAGGTCCTGTAAATCGCGCAGAGTGGAAGGTCCTTTCTTCTTCACTCTCCTTTTATCCGCAAATCTGCCGCATCCTATGAGATATCAAAAATACTTAATCGATTCCTAAAAAGCTTTAAATCACGCTGCTGTCTTACGATTCTATTTCATACAAGTGTTTTTACAAAAACAAAACTTTTTAGTTTTTAAAAAGTATTCAATCCTAGCTAACCACACTTCTTTTCGAGTTCTTAATTCGCCACCCTCCAATCCGTGATACCGCTCGATTTTTATCGCATTGCCATTTTCATTCTAATTGATATTTTTAAGCTTGTAATGTAAGAATTAGAAATATAAAGTCTGAATAAGATATTCATAATAATATCAGGTCAAGAAAAATATTTGAATTTAAACTGAACTTATTATAAGAAAAAGATTTTGAGATGCGGTAATTTGGAGACAGGGAATAGGTTGGACAATGAGAAATGGATATGTATTTTTTGTAAACAAGGTAGGGAGATAACATGAACCATTATGTAGAAGAGTGTAATTGAACAAGGAATTAGTTTATTGAGTTAGGTAAAAATAATAAGAAAAGATTGGAGAGACTCTGCGGAATGAGTTGGACACCACTAAAGGGAAGGTAGTTGAAGAAAATATAGGTATATAGGAAAAGGTTATAGCGAAAGGAAAAGAAGAGAGGAAGAGTAGGTTGGAGAGTAAAATAGATTGATAGGCCGATGTGTTGTAATAATGATAAAATAGGTTAGTAATGTATTGATGGAGTGATTAAGGAAATTTTTAAATCAAGTTCACTTTTTAGCTATGTAGCTGAAGTTAATAAACTATATTGTAAGAAAAAGATTGCAAGAAAATAGAGAAAAAGAATGTTTTCGGAAAAAAATTCTCAAATAGTTTTGCAAATACGATTTAAGAAAAAGTAATGTTTGTCCGTTGTAACGGATACCTGATACTTAAAAAAAATCACGATTTGTTCCAAAAAGTATATTAATTTAGTCATTCAAATTGTAGCAATTTTCGCAAAGAAATAATTTAATGGGTGCAAATAACAGATAGTATAAAAATAATAAAATGTATAAATGGAAAAAATACAAACTTTTTACTTTTAGCGTGACTTCACATCAAGCATAAATTGTTAGAAGTATTTGGATTTGTTAAAGAATTATTTTAAAAACTTATAATTTCTTTAAACATAGATAATATGGTAAACTAGAAAACCGAAAAAGTTCCGTGGTTCACTAAACAAGAATGTGGCAAACTAGGGTTAAAATTATTTAAAGGAAATATTGTTAATCGCTAATACAAGTAAAAATTATTTCTTACCCGTGAAAGCATTGCAAAATGGTCTCTTCGACTTGATTGTTTTCTCTTCTTTTAAAGCATTTAGAAGCTGCCGTTCGAACTGTAAAAGTGAATTCTGCCCGCGCCCACTTCCATTAGAACTATTTTTATCCTTCCAAAATGTGTAAAACTCGGTTGATATTTAGTATTGAATTTGTACAGAGAATAATCCTCTTATTATTAATCTATTGTGTACATTTAAAACAAAGTCGTACATCAGAGATTTTTCCATATTTTTGTCGTTCAATAATTGATTTAAAAGAGCAAGCATTTTTAAAAAATAGGTATTATAATAGTTTACAAATTATAAGCAATTTAGAATTTATGAAACGCTCTGATGCGAATTGAGTAAATTATTCATTAAAATGTATATTTTTACCTTGTCTTTTAAAACTTCAGTATTTGCCACCTTCAACAGGCACATGCAAGCCAGAGTACAGCAAAGATATTTGATAATCTGCGTAATAAAACAAGGAATTAACAGACACGCAAAGCTGTTTAAACATTTTTTTTCGTAACAACGCCGTGAATGATGTAATAAAAATAACAACTGACAAGTAAGCGCCGAACTATATCCTGTACGGATGATGATTCACAACATAAATGTTCGCGTTACATAAGCGTATAGAAGCGTTATAGAACCAATGTTTAAGCTGCTTAAACATCCGAAATCAATATTATATTATGGTTAATTAACAATTAATGAAGTGGTTACGTTATTTGGAACGCCATACGAAATGAATTCGATTTGATTTAATTAACTTAACGGAAATAATCGATAACGATTCCGCATGTATTAACATTTCTTTTAATATAATACGTTTCGCAGAAAATTACAATTGGTTTGCATATATAAGAGTAAAAAAACAAGCTGTACGTTATCATTAATATGCAGTTGTTCTTGTAAAAACGATCGGTACGTTATTTTATATTGAGAGAGTCGGCGTCCATATGTTAAATGTTTTTTTTTTTTTTTTTTTTTATTATTGTAACATGTTCGTAATATGCATTTAAATCCAATATTTGCATATTTTCTTAAATCAAGAGTAACTTTTTACAAATGAGTTTATTACAGAAAGTTTACATATTACTGTTTTTCAAATTTAAATGTTAAATGTATTAGCAGATAAATCACAAATTAAATTTTCATTAAAATAGAACTTTTTTGTATTTACATGAAAAATAAAGTTCTGCTATCTATATACAAATTTAAAATTTAATTTTACACTTGGAATTTTATATGATGGTATGACATATTCGCGTTTACTAAAAATTATTAATTGGTAATTAAGTGGTTTGCATAGATTTATAATAGTTGATTGTTATGAAAAGGTATAATCAACTTCTTATTAATATTTAAATTTATATATATGCAATCATAATAATAGCAATAAAAAGAATTGCAGTTATGCTTATTATTAATAATTAAAGTTAAAAATACTTAAATTTATATATATGCAATCACACACACACACATATAATAATAGCAATCAAAAGAATTGCAGTATGTGGAAGCATGTTCCATCCAAGAGTTTTATTTCATAAATGCGTGATCTAAACCGTATGCACACATCAGTATCTAATAAAACGTTTCCATAGTTGATGAATTTTTCATCGTAAGAATTATTTTTAAATTATTTATTTTATATAATATAAAAAGAAGATTTTACTTTCTACAAATATATATAATAAAATATTTTGTAATGTCTTTATAAATCGATATAAATATTAAATATGCGCCAGATATTATAATGTTTAATTTAAAATATTTTTAAAACATACATGTCAAAAGTATATAAAGTATTAAAGTATAATATTTTCAGATTCAAGTAATAATGTGTACTCGATAAAATTGATCACTACATACACATTTAAAATCAGTTTTTATACTTCATAATTAAGATGTTCATAAACATGTTAGATGAAAAAATTGAAAGTACAACCAACCTTCATATCGCGATCTTTTCGAGCAGTTTATAGGACCTTCGGAAATTCTTCAAGACGCACCTCTGAAGCGACACCTCTCTCTCTCTCTCTCTCTCTCTCTCTCTCTCTCTCTCTCTCTCTCTTCTCTCTCTTCAGAAGAAGTTACGTACTCGATCAACTATCAATACAGGATACGCGTTCGTATGCCAAAGGACAGGTCGCGCGCGGTTGAAGCTGTGGCTTCTCCCTCTCGTTTGAGGGGTGAAACGGCGCGGTCGCTCTTCAAATACAATCCCCGCAAACCCCCTCCGCGTGGTAAGTACCGCACGGGGTGGATGCAAGCGACTGGAGAACGCATGACTGTCGACGGGCGACTGTCGTATTTCACACTTCAAAAAATCCTTCTTCATCAAGTACACGTGTTCCAGACCTATGATTTCGTGGGCGACTTATACATCTGATATTTAACTCTTACAAGACAATCTTTTTTTTGTTCATCATTAAATCTTGCTAGGTGGGAATACAAATAGGAAATACTCTGCGTGGGTGCGCGATCAGAGATTTTTATTTTGTATTACTTTTTTAATACAAAAGATGAGTGATAGTAGATAATTTATTAATAACTAATAACCGTCAAAAATAATTATATGTTAATAATAATCATTCTCAGAATGTAACTCTTTCTCCTCTCATTTCCCTCTCTCTCTCTCTCTCTCTCTTTCTCATTTTATCTGTTAACATTTCACTTAAACTTAATTAAAAAACAAATTAAATTTTTATTTTAACTTTAATACATTCAAGTTTAATTGTATAAATAATCAGCCATATAAGACATCATATTCTTATCTAGAATATTTTTTTAATGTTTTCTGTGTAAACGTGTGTAAGCGAAATTATACAAGAGACAGCGGAATCTATTTTTGGAAGATATTAAATATTTTCTTCAAGAGATGCGTTTGCATAACACTCAAACTTTCGCATAACTGTTCGCTATAGATTATAGTCGAGGGCTCCGATGCCGTGACTGCTCGCGGAATATACATCTTATGCAGATCTAATAATTCATGTTGCCCCTTAAGATTCACGGATCATAAGTTGTCATAGGTCACGGGGTTTAACGGCAAAGTCTCAACGGCATATTGACGCAGCAATGCATCCCAACTATTTTATTGCGTACCCACCCGCCCGCGAGAGAGAATTCTCGTTCTCGCACTTCGTTACGATATTGTACTAATTGGTTACAGATTTCAAAACAATTCGATGTGCGCGGTATTCAAATCTATTGCAATACAATGGCGATTTAATTGTTATTTTTTTACGTAAAAAAAAAATATATATATATATATATATATATATATATATATATATATAGTAGTGCAGTTTGTAGAAAATTTTTTTGCGCTTTGGAAGCATGTACGAAATAAAAATTGACATACGCACAGGTATCCATCGTTGAGATCAGTAAAATTTCGATCGTTACTTCAAAGTGCTACACGAAACATATATTATTGTTCTTTCCAGATTTGTTTGTCTTTGATTTGACTAACGTTAAAATCTCAACTAGATCTCCATGCTTTTACACGGCAAATTTTTAATAGCGCAAGTATTTGATAAGATGTATAATAATTTGTTTTGATAATATTCGGAGAAGATAACATATTATAAACTTTCTAAGCAAAAATTTAGAAAGAATATACAATTAGTAACTATCCAGTAAGCAATCTGTCCGCAGTATGACAATATAGATTAACAGCAGATTTACTCAGATATCTCGCAACAGATTCGATATTATCTACGTCCGCATTTAAACTCGAGTGCGGCCGGAAGCCTGCCGATAATCTGACAGCAGATTGTCGGCAGATAAACCGAGCAGAATCTGTTATTTCGCAAACATTTAAAATGGAATATATCATTAAATGCAGATTTTATTACTCAGAGTTTCCGGAATCAATTTTTTATTATATTCTATTAGCAAAGTCCGTTATATTTCGGCTGGCATCGGTTCCATCGACAAAATTTGCAGCAGACATTTTTAAAATCTGCATGTTTTCAACAGATTTGGCTATGCGGGTAGACCGGGTAGTAAATCTTAGATGTGCATAAATTTAAACAGTTATCATCAACAATAAATGCTTTGCTTTTCAGTTTTACGGATGAAACAATGTGAATACCTCCTTCTAGCGCTCCACGTGGGTACGATTTATCGCGTACTTACGCACAACAAACGAGAGCTTGGACTATGCAAAGGGAAATCGAAAGCGACGGTATCGGAACTGAGGATTAGTGCTGATTAAATCGATGCCAGGAAGCGAAGTATGGCAGGTTGGCCGATAAGAGTCTCCGTGTAAAAATCGTAGAAAAAACAGCCGGGAGGGAGAGGGGACTTAAGTACTTACACCATTCTCACATCAGAACCTGCTGAGTTACGATTAGGTCGTTCAACCTTGGCGGCTAGTGGCTGTTCACATTTTTCTTTTCTCTTTTTCTTTAGCTTTCGCACATTCACCGTCGACAAAATTTTCGGTAAGATCGCCTGAAAAGTCGTTAATAGATAACAAAAAATACTCAATTAGTATTTTAGTATCTAATATTAAAAGACCAACACCTTCTTCAGCGGCCATGCAAACGAAAGCGCGATAATATACACAGAAGCCGATAAAATAGCGAAATTTAAAGAAAGATGAGATCTTTGAAATAACTATTTTCTGATTCTAATGAAGTGATTTTTTGAAAGTATTTTGTCATTTATTAAATTAAAAAATATTTTTAAGATATTTTTGAAGCAAAAAATTGAAAATTGTGATTTTTGCGACTAAAAAATAAAAGAAGATGCACAATTTGAATTTTTTACATTTTTCTCCGCTCCCCGTAAATTTACCATAAATTAATATCTGCGTTAATATTAACTGCAAATATATTAAAAGTCTTTTACTATTGTTAAGGTAATTATCTTGCGAGAAAAAAACTTTTCCAAATTTTCATGATTATATAACCAAATGATTAAGACGATAAAAGATATGTAAAAAGATATATCACTAATAAAAAGATATATCAATAAATATATTTCTTAATACTTAATTCTAAATTATCAAAGGAGCTTCTTTCAGCATAAGATACATATATAGCTTCATAATTATCATGAACGCCGAATAATAAACTACGTAATAAAATCAGCAGACTAGCTATTTAAATAAAGACGACGACCTTTAATTTTACGACAGATATAAACGCTGGTGCTAAATTAACGACGCGGGATAGTAAATCACTGTTTATAGCTACTAGATGATAGTTCACTTATAAATAGGAGATGAGGATTTCACTTATAAATATGTGGCCTTATGTAAAATATATAGCCGTCTTTTGCATAAATGAAAATAGATACATAGGTATACGTTTATAGCAGTCCAGATTTTATGCGAAAACATTCAACACGTTGATTCTCAAAAACGTCCGTTGATAAATCAATGGCTTAAATAAGTCAGAAAGAAAAGATCAGAATAAAATTAAACTAATTTTTTTAAATTTAAGTAGGCATTTTAATTCTTTCTTGGCTGTTATATTAAAAAAATAATAATATAGATAAAAATTCTAGAATTTCAGCAGCAATTTCTGATCTCAAAAATAAAGAATTTATCTTTTATGGAAAAAATTCTAAAGTTTTTTAAAAAGCTCATAAGGAAAGAAGGACAATTCGTATTATCTATATATACTTTAAAATTTTTTAAATTGTATGTTTTTTATTGATAAACATTTCATTATAGATTTTATTTAATACAATATTAGTTGTTATATTTCAAAGTATAATATATTTATATATATGTATATGTATATATGTGTATATATATATACGTGTATATATATACATATACACGTTTCCAACTGGGTGAGATACAGTATAATATTAACCTCCACATCTCTTAGTCGCCCGGATAGCTCAGTCGGTAGAGCATCAGACTTTTAATCTGAGGGTCCAGGGTTCGAGTCCCTGTTCGGGCGATTTTTTTTATTCCTTGTAATACGAATAACTTTTTTAATCATACAGACACGGTCAGTATTAACAATAAGTATAATTGCACTGGTTATTTTTTAATTTATAAATTTTTCCTTTGTTGTGTAAATTATAAACGTATACAGTTAGTTGATTCTAGAGTCAGCATACTCTAGATTCTTTGCTTATGAAACTGAACTACTTGAAATTGTAAAATTATATGCGCATAAATATAAAAAATATTGTTTAAAATAATATAAAATTTAAATAAGATCTTTTGTTTGTGTGATTATTTATATATAGTTATTCTTATTTTTATCTATAAATGTACTAAAATATATATACAAAAAATATTGTGTAAAAAAATATATATTTCGAGCTTTTTATAGCTGTATAACTTTTGTACCTTGTACCTCGAGATAAATGTATAATACAAAATAAACATTTTGTATTATACATTTCACATGTAAAAATTCTCTTATTTACACTTACAAAATGTACTTAGAGGATTTGTGTGACTCAATCTTATATAAGATATACGTTTTGACTAAAAATAAGTTCATATGATAGTAACAAAGAACGTAATAAAGTATGATACGTACAAATTGCATATATAGTAAACAGGAATATAAAAAAATGTATAAAAAAATAGCAATGATAACGCAATTGAAATAACACAAAATAAAAGCCAAGGTCGCAAAAAAAGATTATCGAGAATCTTGACAGCATTAACTGTAGGTTATCGGACAGTTGTTGCTCAACAATCTAATTCGCGCGTTAATGTTTGTGAAATTGGATGAAAAACGTTAGACCTTGGATGACTTTAGTTCCATTACACTGCCATCCGGCATGCCAAAGAAAGCTTTTTCAGCCATATTCAAGAATAGACCAGTCTCTATGACTCCAGGTATCAAGGATATTTCGTTGTTAGTTTTGTTCAAACATGTTACATCTTGAGGAAACTTCCAATCCAAAATAAAATTACCATTATCTGTTATTACTGGACCCTGCAAAAGTAACAAATTATAATTAAGTTTGTTATTCATATTATTTATTGATTTTATAATAATCTAGAGATAATAATGTAGATAATAAAAATATATTTACAGCTTTAGCGACAGCCATTCTAATTTTCACAATTCCTCCATATCTGTTTTCAATTCTACGTTGAATTGGTACATACGCCATAGGAACTACTTCAATAGGAATTCCTTTCTTATAATGCTCACCAAGTCTTTGTGAAATTTTTCTGTAAGTTGAGAAAAAACGTAAGAGAGCGAATCATTTAAACTCTGTATCATAAAGTTTGTTGTCAACATGCAAAATCGATACTAAAATCGATTACAAGATTAATATATCAATAGACACAATAATACTTACGTATAGTCTGCTATGATAATAAGCCGCTTGGCACAGCAAGCAACAATTTTTTCTTGTAACATACATCCTCCTCCACCCTTAATGAGATTCAGGTTCTCGTCAACTTCATCTGCTCCATCAATTGCGCAATCCAGCTGTGCCGATATTAAATAATGTTCATAAAAATATATAAGAAATACAAATAGAGAATAAAAATTTAAAAATTACCTGCGGATGAGTTTCTAAGTCACCTAAGGTTAGATGACTGTCCAGTACAAGTTGACGAGCTTGAAACGACGTAGGAACACAGATAACACTGAGTCCTTCTTCTTTAACACGTTCAGCTGGAAATAAAATACAAGAAACTGTACTGTTGTAAATTGCAAGGAGTTAATTTTTGAAGATAATATTTGGTACGTATACTTCAACATGACAAAGAAACATTTCATGAAGTCCAGAGAATAAAATATTATTATGCAACACGTGCATGGAAAGTGCCCCATTACGCACGCTACGCGTGCGTGATAGACCACTTTCCAGGCACTTGCAACATAAAATAGGGAGTGTAAGCCGTGTGTAAAGATAAAAATTCCCGGGTACGGTTACCGCACTCGCCTTCGGCTCGTGCGTAAACTCCGCACCCGGGAATTTTCATCTTACCTCACTTGTTACACAAATAACTATTATGCAACACGTGCATGGAAAGTGCCCCATTACGCACGCTACGCGTGCGTGATAGACCACTTTCCAGGCACTTGCCACATAAAATAGGGAGTGTAAGTCGTGTGTAAATCATCTTACGACACTTGTTACACAAATAACTATTACGTATTATATCTCAACAAGTCGAAATGATTATAATGAGGGCAAAAGTATGCTATATAGGTGATACAGAGATCAAATCTTAAAACACAGAGCTACATGTGTCTTATTAAAATAATTCAAAGAATACACAAGACATAAGACATCTCTTAAAATGTTTAAAACTTTTAATTAGATCAAGAAAATAATTTTCTATCAGCAATATGTCAATGCGTTGCACTGTGCAACAATAATTTACATATTACAAGAAGACGTCTCAAGATTTTCTTCTATACGTGTTCTTTTTTTATGGACACACATGAATGTAAAAAACAACGGAATGCCTTCATGATTTTATTTTAAAAAATATGAGAATGAGTGTGTGGAGCTAATGCTAAGATAATTGACTGAATTGCAACATTTGAAGTTCGAGTCTTTAAAATTATTTTCAATTATGAAACATAATTGCAAATATTAAATATCACTATTACCAAGTCTCTGAACAGCGTAAACCACAGTGGATCCGCTGCCAATCCCGATGGCAGTGTTATTCTAAAAGACAACGTGTTAGTATAACCTCCGACAGAAAACTGTACCGATCGGTCGTGCGATTTCTCTCAAGCAAGTCGACTTACCTGGACGTATTCATCCACAGCTTTGTAAGCCGCAATTTTCTTGGCGTTCTCGATCGGATTTCCGCCCATTCTCGGGGATGAATTTCTCGGAACACTGTGCAGCGATCTGGATATTCGAACAAGCGAACGAATCATGTGCGACATGTGCGCACGAAACGTATTTGAAGTTTGAAGTCAGAGAGAAACCTGAGAGAGGCCATCCCGGCCTTTTTCGTGTGTTGCTGTGTTGCATTTTCCGACGCACCGCCTGAGAAAGTGCAACTCAACTACGTCGTATCGCTCGGTAACCGCACATGGTTTGCGTCCGTGCTAATGGTTCGTGTCCGAACTAGCCAACTGGAGGGGATATTCTGGCCGCGGCGGCCGCGCTTCCATCTTGCGTATTCCAATTAATAACGAATTACGATAATTAAAATTACAAAATTATGGATCTTTGATCGCGTATAAATAAGCTGGGTCTAATCAACCAAATCTTAAAAAATTATATATGAAATAGGGGTAGAAAAGACTGAGAAATATAATAAAATTAGAAATAGATCGATATCTTCAAATTTGCGGAAGTTAGAGCAAACACGGACATCAAATCTGCACATACACATATATACGTACGGACATGCGATTTTAATGCAATATTTCGACATTTTAGAACACTCTGAACATATTAACTTCCGCAAATTTGAAGATATCTATCTATTTTTAATTTTATTATATTTTTCAGTCTTTTTTACCTCTATTTCATATATAATTCTTTTAAATTCGGTTGATTAGACTTAGCTTTATATGCGATCAAAATTATGGATATGGGGGGGTCCAAGTTAATGGCAAGCTGGATCCCCCCCCCCCCTATTTTTTACGCGATTTCCTGCTAAACGGTTCGAGCACCAAAATTCGGACTAGGGCACTTAATTAGCACCTAAATAGCACTAAATTTTTGACCTAGTGCGAACTTGATTTGCGCTGGTGGGGGGTCCAGCTTAATAGAGGTGACTGGACTATTTGATTTAAATATATTCGGTGCATCGAATTTTAAACTTTTGTTTTAAATATAATTTGCAATTAACAACGCGAAAGAATTCCATCGCAACGTACATACAGACGTCTTTAAGGCGTCATACGTTCTAATTTGGGACATATATCCTCTGTCTGCGAATATATAATGATGAAAATTAAATCACACGCGCTTTTGCTTCAAAAGAAATACAGATTGAATGATAGAAGAATTGATAGAGATTGGACTGAAGATTATCTCGATTTCTTCATCTTGAGTAGGGAGGTCATCGCAGAGGGAGGGAGAGTCAGTACACACGGGTCTTTGATTAAATTTCCATTATTTCCATTATTATTCAGCGTCAGAGGCGTATAACGCAAGATATACACAATCAAACACAATTTACATTTCGACAATCATTATGTATAAGACTTCATTTCGATTCTCCCTATTGGTACTTAGCAGTAATGCTCATCGATATAGCTTCCCGCTACTTTAAAGAGCGCCGCGTCGACGCGCAACGACGGTTCCCCGGTTTATCAACGCATCCTCTCTCCTCTTTCTCTCGCTCATTCACACGCTCTCACTTTCGCGCGCATTCGTACATACGTTCACGTAGCGTCGTCGATCGAAAAGTCAGGTAAAAATTCGCGAAGGATTCCCTCAACTGCGGCGATTCGCCCTCCCTATATAGGTGCAGGGCGATATTCCTTAGCGGAATATCGTTCGGGACTCTTCTCCTCTCTTGATCGTAGTTGCGAAGTTCCGAGGCAAAAGCCTCATATGGATTCTCGACGGTGGAAGAAGTTCGCCGGTCGCTTTAACCGACGACTTGGAACTCGGCGGTAATCACGGAGAATTTTACTTATTCGCTCCGCCCGCTCTAATCAAGTTTCTTCCCCGAGAAATGACACGATCAGGTCACGCTTCTCTTCGTCTACAAAATTAAGTTCCGTCCGAGTAGAGTATCAGAAGCCAGGAAAGATGATCTTGGGTGTGCACAAAACGTGCGAACTCTAATTATTAACATTCTTCATCTGTCGCACAAGTACCTTTTGCGTAATCCAACTAGAACCTAGAACACCGGTCACAGTGATCTTCTCTTGTGCTTTGTATGTTGGGGAAAAAAGACTTCTCCGGATGAGGATCTCTTGGAGATTCTTCTTTTTTTTTTGTATCTTCCTTTGTATACCATCGCAACCCGTTTCTACAGAAGAGCAACAACGCAATGGCAAACTTGCATCTAGAACTTGGGGGATCAGCAACTATCTCAGCAGCGTATTCTCTCCTTTCTACCATTTATACATTTACTACATACGGCTTCTCTAGCTTCTAAGATTCTTTCTTTATCGTGCATATCGCTTGCCTCTCTTTTTCTCTTTTTTTTTTTGCATTTTGACTGCGGCTCGTGAGGGGAACGCTATTGAAATTAATTGGAAATAAATTGAAACCCTTAACTGCAATGCGTTTTAATCGGAATTGGGATCGGCATAATTTCTCGAGTTCAGATTTTCGCAAATCCCTCTCTTATACTTTTCGAGACAATCTGCTCTAAACAATAAAAAATCGAACTCGCCGAAATTACATCAATTCCCCGCACTTAATTTTAATCAACCAACAGCAGGACCAAATCGTGAACGAGAGTCGCGAAAAAAGAGTGACGCTTTATCAGACATTTTATTATATTTATATTCGAATTCCGATTCGTAACACGAATTACAGCGAAATATAGATAATACACAGGACAAGGAAAGGGCTTTCTTCAATGTGAACGATTAAGGACGAAATCTACGAGAGAGTGAAACTTCGACGAACGTTTTAAGAACTTTAGAATTCCATATATGTAGTTCAAGTATTTCGCTCTTGATCACGAGCCTGCCCGGCTGAAAACGGATAACTTCTACAATTACGTCTCGTTACACGTTCCTACGGACTTCAAGCCGAACGAGACCATTTTTAAAAGCGGGATAAAATGTAACAACTAAAACGAAAAGACTTGAAGTTCTCTTCGCGAAATCGTTCTTTTCTATTCTTCCGTTTATAAAAGAGACCAGTTATCGCATTGCAACGAATTCGATTGGCGCATCACGGCCCACAATGATGGATCTACGATCCTCTCTCAGAGTAGCGATCGCTCTTATATCGTTTCCACACGCGATCGTTCACGCGAGAAATTATTCGTATATATATTCTATGTACATTATTTCCTGCTCCCAACATTTCATACAGGCATGCCGTATAATATTCGCTAACTCGTAATAGTTATTTGTGTAACAAGTGCTGTAAGATGGAAATTGGACGTGCGGAGTGGACGCACGAGCCGGAGGCGAGTACGATCACCCGCACGTCCAATTTTCAACTTAACACACGTGTTACACACCCTATATTTTATGTTGCAAGTGCGTGGAAAGTGATCTATCACGCACGCGTCGCGTGCGTAATGGGCCACTTTCCATGCACGTGCGACATAAAGTTTATTAAACAAAAGCGAGGTGTCCGCGAAATCACTTTTCCAAAGGAGACAAAACAAAACGTGAGGATGATATAACTGCATCTTCTTTCATTCGATGCTAACAGAAACGCGTGTGTGTAACGTCAAACAAATCATTTTAATGAAAAGGGCATATATGCACACAAGAATAAACATTCTTATGTCTTTACAGTACATAATTGTTGCGAACGAGAGCGGTTTCGCACGATTCCCACTCGACACGTGTACAACAAACGCTACGACGACATTCCCTCCGTCCTAAAGTCATCGATAATTGTCTAATATGTTACAATCGGGCGTCACACATCGGGCCGCGAATCCAGACAAGCCTTAAGATTATTAGATTAATGATCGATATTCGTTAAGAAACGGTAATAAGAGCGTAATACAATCAGAGTAAATTATCGAGATTTAACAGAATCCACGTACTCTTTTCTTCCGAGTGTTCGCTCTTTAAGCTCTATCGTCCATTGCTTTTTTTTTGCTTTTTTCTTTTAGTTACATCACACATCTTTTATCACCTACCACGACTGCATCATTACTTTTAGATTTGCTTCAGCACGTGCGCAAACATAATTAATTATGTGACGCGTATTCAGGAAACAGTATGCTAGCACGTATATGAACACGTGCACATCTGCGCCTTTCTCTCTCTCTCTCTCTCTCT